GAAAACTGCCGGTGCTGCACATCTTCGGGCAGCAGCCCCTGGACATCGGGCGTTGCACAGAAGCATTCCAGGAGCTCTACCCCAATCGGCAGAGTCGTGTGGTGGTGCTGAGCGATGTGGTTTATGCCCATGCAATGGGTGAGTGCTCTAGGACAGGGAGGGGGTCTCTGATGCTGCTCTGAGCTCTGCAGAGCTGCCAGGAAAAGAGGGACCAGCAAGCAGTCCCCAGATGTTCTCTCCTCTCTCCTAATGTGCTGTCCCACCTTCTGCAGATCTCATTTTCAACCCTTTCTCCCTTTAGGTGAGCTGGAGCAACGGTTGTGCCCCGAGTACCCCAATATCATTTTCTCCAGGGTGGTGTGCAAGGACTCTCCTGGCCCTGCACCGCCTGGGGAGGTGCGGCAGTTTGGTCGCCAGTTCCATGTGGAGGCACTGGGTGGGCTGCAGGACTGTGCCATGTTCTACGTGGGAGCCGAGGGCCTGGCCCTCACCAGCTTCATGCTGACCTGGAACTGCTGCCCTTTCAGCTCCTTTGATCCTGCCACCGGCTGTGAGACCCTCAATGTCAACCGGGCCCTGATGCGACGCTTCTACCTGGTGGAGCGGGCCCGGGATGCCCAGGTGGTGGGCATCCTGGTGGGCACTCTCGGCGTGGCAGGCTACCTGACCGTGCTGCAGCACCTCCGCAAGCTTCTGCGCCGGGCCGGCAAGCGCAGCTACACGCTGGCCGTGGGGAAGCCAAACCCTGCCAAGCTAGCCAACTTCCTGGAAGTGGACATCTTCGTCCTGGTGGCCTGTGCTCAGAACTCACTCCTGGACTCCAGTGACTTCTACCGGCCCGTTGTGACCCCCTATGAGCTGGAGCTGGCCTGTAACCCAGCCCGCGAATGGACGGGGAATTACCTCACTGACTTCCGAGACCTGCTGCCAGGTAACAGCTGGAAACCAGCTGCCCAACGTCTTCCTGGGGCATGTCCTGCCCTGCTCCCCTGCCTGGAGCCTGCAGTTGCCAGCACCAGCCAGAGGATAGACATGAGTACCAGGCTAATGTTACCGTTTCCCGGCAGGTGCCTGTGCACATGTTGAGCTCCCACCAGCCGTCCCTTCAGCGGAGGCCGTTCCTGACATCTCGCTGATCACGGGGGAGATGCGTGCCACCCACCTCTGCGACTCCCCAGCCCCACAGCTGCCCCCCAGCACTGCCCTGGCCTGCAGGGACCAGACACGGACCCTCGCAGAGATCAGCCCTGCTGGTTTGTGGTTCGGTTTTGTGGTGGGGCTGAGCTCTGGTGCAGGAGCTGTGCTGCCTCCTGTTCCCAGTAACAATTCCCTTCCTCTCTCCTTCCAGCCTCCTTCCTGGAGTCCCGCAGCTGGCGGGGCTTGGAGCAGCAGCTGGGGCAGACGCCTGTCTCCAAGGCTGTGCAGGGCCGACGAGGGATCGCCATCTCCTATGAGGACGAGGGGCACGAGCAACCCTGATTCGGCAGCAGTGTTGGCACCCACCCAGGAGCAGAGGATGATGCCAAGGGGCCTGGGCGTCACCCGTCACCAGGTGTTGGACCTGTGAGGGTGTCATGAGGGTCCAGACCTGCCACCAGCTGTCCCTGTGCTGGATGTGGACTTGGGTCAGTAGTGCTGTGGTGGGAGAGCAGGAGTTGCATGTGTTCGGGGATGCCCATAGCACCCCGGGACTCAGGGCCAGGGCCAGGAGAGGTGGTTGGCTCAGAACTGGTCTCTGAGGGCTCCCCAGTCCAGGGCAGCTTTGAGAGGTGACATGGGAAAGCTGACAGCTTCGCCTGAGCTGACAGTGCCAGGACTCGAGGCTTGTGCGGGCCACTGCTGCTAACTAAAGCTGAACTGAAAAGGGACTTGGGAGTGAATTGTCTTGTAGAATAAAACATGGGCTGAGGTGTGCAGGCAGGGGGCTACCAGACATCCCAGAGTGAAAACAGATCACGGAGTCCGCTCTGGTATCAGGTAAAACACCAGCCTGAGAGAAGACCAGAACTGGGACCCCCAGAACTGAAGCCTCATTCACAGCTGGGCTGGGCAACTAAGGCAAAGGGGACAAGGCTCTGCCCTCAGCTGGAGTGGGGTACACACGTCCTGTGCTGCAGGAAGGACCCTGCGTTTGGTGGGGATGGAGTAGTGATAGGACAAGGGGTAATGGGTATAAATTGAAAGCAGGGACGTTTAGATTAGATATCAGGAAGAAATTCTTCACAGAGAGGGTGGTGAGGCGCTGGAACAGGTTGCCCAGAGATGTTGTGGATGCCCCATCCCTGGATGTCTTCAAGGCCAGACTGGATGTGGCTTTGAGCAACCTGGTCTAGTGGAAGGTGTCCCTGCCCATGGCAGGGGGGTTGGAACTAGATGATCTTTAAGGTCCCTTCCAACCCAAACCATTCTATGATTCTATGATTCTATTCTTAGGTGAGGCAGGACCATTTCTGCTCCGTGAGCTGCCCCATGCCAGGCAGGAGCGCATGGCAAGTTGTGGGGGGGACTGGTTTTCACTATCCCTCCCACAGCCAGGGGAGATGAGAGGCTTTGAGGCACCCCCCCACCTTGATTTAACCTCCTCTGCTGGGCTCTTCCCCAGAGGCAAGGCGCAAAGTCCGGGCACCGCAATAATGACAGCCACAACATAGAAATATTCTTAATATAATTAGGTGCAGGGTCTCCCCCCTCCCAACCACACACGTACAAACGAGCAGGGGGCGAGCCCTC